CTGTGTGCTCTTTTTGCTCCGGAGTTCGCAGATCATCTGACGTGGTTTAAGGGAGAAGATAAAAGACACATCATGCACACAGTTGCCAAGACCCATAAAGGGTGAGGTAACCGTTTTACATTGACACTTGTCACTTTAGATGTTATGTACTCTGTGGCCACACTCGAGTGTCACAGTGGATTTCATTGAGGAATCAATTCAGTCTTGGTTCAGGGTAGCCCTTGATCGAATCCTTGGAAACCGGAAGCTGCGACGCGAGAAGGCCGCCTCGCGGCGCACCGAAAAAATGAATGATGACATTATGATATTACTAATACATTTATGTCTGCACTAATCTCGTTATCCTTTAACCATGCAGCATGTTGCCGCAAGTACGGCGCGGTTGGCAATTAGCTACGGCGTTCGGTAATAATACGCATGCCATGAGGTTAGGTGATCACAGCGATTACTCAGGGAAGCAGCCAGTTAGCCGAAAAGTATGCCTCGACAAATTTGTGGTTGCAACCGTTAGCCTCGTCCAGCTGCAAAGGATTTCGAAAAAGGCCATGAAAAATTTTGGCTGAAATTCTTCTGGGTTGCCGGCTTTGACCCACCTTAGCCACCTCTGGCGGGTCTACTGGGCTTTTGCGAGTTGTGTGGGATATTCTCCTTTTCGGAAGTGCGGGCAAACAGTTCAGACAGGTGGTGACTGAGCGCTTCACCGCTATATGTGGTCATGCGGACCAGGAGGTCGGTGGCATTCGTGGGAACTTTCGCGATCATAAACCTCTGAGGACGTAGGTGGTTCCACGTACACCTTCCATAGTTCTGCGTCAGCTACGACCTCCAGATGTGTGGCAGTTGATGGTCATGATAACTGTTGTTCGAAGTATTGTGCCCACTGGTCGAGGCGTTTCTTATTCAAGCTGGTTGCTATATTCTGATCCATGTTGGTTTCGTTCACAGGTGGTTTCCGGGGCCCGATCGCACGTGACACATCCATCCAAATGATGTGATGCTCGGCTATTAGGATGGCTGGCCCTCCGGACACCAACTGAAATAATCTTCCAGTATTCCCGGCTAAACAGTTCAGACAGGTGGTGACTGAGCGCTTCACCGCTATATGTGGTCATGCGGACCAGGAGGTCGGTGGCATTCGTGGGAACTTTCGCGATCATAAACCTCTGAGAACGTAGGTGGTTCCACGTCCGCCTTCCATAGTTCTGCGTCAGCTACGACCTCCAGATGTGTGGCAGTTGATGGTCATGATAACTGTTATTCGAAGTATTCTGCCCACTGGTCGAAGCGTTTTTTATTCAAGCTGGTTGCTATATTCTGATCCATGTTGGTTTCGTTCACAGGTGGTTTCCGGGGCCCGATCGCACGTGACACATCCATCCAAATGATGTGATGCTCGGCTATTAGGGATGGCTGGCCTCCGGACACCAACTGAAATAATCTTCCGGTATTCCCGGCTTTCCGGGCCTCTTCCGTTTCCTTAGCTCTATTTGTCCAATAAAGGTCACAGTCGATGCACAAACTTACTTTGGCTTGACGTTTGGCGATTCGTCGGACCAACCTATGTTCGGGACCGTGTGGAATATTTACCCGAGGTTTAAGTAGTATCACTGTTCGGTGTGATAGTCAGTGCTTGAATGGGCCTGGTGGCGTCATGCCGCAGACAAAACTCCTAGCACTGTGCAAAGTTGTGATGATCTCGTCCTAGTATGAATTTCCATCTGATGGTGGAGCACGTGGAAGAATTTCTGATAAATCTGTCTAACATCCGAATCTGCCACTCAGTTGCCAAGCCATTTGTCCACAACTTACACGGCCATGAAAAACGAAGGGATAAGCCACTCCGGACGAGCGGCAGCCAGTTATTTATAGCTCCATCGGTCACTGATGGTAATGTGATCACTTTAAATTGGTAACCGTCCGCCGTCGGAGAACTCTGTGGCGAGATGACTCCGGCCATTTCGAAAGTTAGTGCTGCGTAAAAGCCTGTGGTCAGCACGTGGCTGAAGCAATCGTTCGTTATTGTCCGTACGTACTGAGACAGGTTCGTAGGCATACATGTATGTCTAGTGTAGGAACCTTGTTGGTCACATTTCCGATCCATAAGTTACCCTTGTTAGGACACTACTTCGCATCTCAGATTAACGTCGCCTGGCATAGTTTCTTTCGCCTAACCCTGCGATGAATGGAAATGGCCGAGACGGTCTATAGCCTGGCAAGGAAGCATGAAAGCAGTCAACCGGGTTTACAACCACTCCATCCCTGGATAGGAAAGCAGGACTGGACGCACCAATGATTAACGGCACTGACGGGCACGCAACGCCTGGTTTTTCCTTTTACTGTCAGTTTCCTGTCGTAAGAGACGATGGCATTTCATTTCGCTCTTTACTTGCGCCACTGCAATGTCAAGGTGCCTGTTTGGACTACGGGAAGTACTGTAGAGTCGACTGTCACCGTCGCGCTCCTTTTAACCGTTTGGAGGCTATCGAGCCGTTCTCCTATTTGGTTGTCTATCTTGGCCATTGGTTCTTCTCGTTGAGGTCCCTAACATGACTTGTTTATTTTTCCGATGCCACTCGATGTTCTTGCGACAGTGCCTGTGACGGATTCTTCACGAGCATCGTCGTTTCGTTTCTCTTTTGATATCTTGTTCTTGGTTGTGTTGAATCATTTGTTAAGCCGACCGGCCAGGGTCCTATCTTCCTGAACGGCTCCAAAGTAAAGCCACCATCTGAAGATCATTAAAAAACGGAATCCTGGGGACACGAGACTTAATGTTCTCACTTTATTCTACCGTCTACTGACCTGCAGTCTTTACGGGAAACACCATCTTTAGTTTATAGTATGACAGATAACGAGCGGGACAATCATTTAATTACTACAATGAGACTACCTCTGTGCTCCGCTTTTTTCAGAATTATCGTCGATATGTCCCGCAACCTTAAGGGGCTTTTACGCTTTGCCATGGAAAATTCAGATGGGACTTCAGAATCCAACGTTGATCCAGAGGTAATTTCTCTTGGGCACACTTTTTTATGTTGATACAGAAAGCACAGTGGCTGAGGGAAGCAATCGCAAATACGTCTGTTGACTTGACCCAACAGTTGAAAGCAGATATCAATGAGCTGACCCAGCTGATTGATGCGCCCAGTTCAAATGAGTCAGAAATGGAAGAAATACTTCAGGACATGATATCATTGACGGAGGATATCAATTTGGCTAATGATTTCTTCAAGCTTGGAGGTGCTTCACTTCTTCGTGCTTTATTCTTCCAGGGACCGAGTTCCCTAAAACCTGGAGCATATGAACTTCTTGCCGCAGTGACTCAAAACAATCCGGTTACCCAGGAAATCTGTGCGAATTCGAATGTCCTCGAAGAGCTTATGTCGCTCTTACCTAAAGAAAGGGATCTACAACGTTTGAAGAAGTTAATGTTGGCCATCTCTTGTGAGTTATCTGGTGTACTTATTCACCCTTATCAAAACAATAAGACCAATAACAAATCAGCCATGGGACTACCAATTTATGGGTACTGCTCAATTCGAAGGAAGCACGAGGGCTGGGGCATTTCCCAAGCTTAGACAAAAGGAATCGAATGTCATGGTTGCATTCATTATAAGGACCCTCGGTAAATAGTTTCGCGGCCTAACCACTGAGCTAGCGTAGTTCGTCTCTTGTAATGGGAACCGGTGCTGCCGATTAGTGCACTGGATCTTATGTGGTTCACCAACTCATAATCATGATTAGAAAAGTAGGTTACCAACGATCTGATCGCGGATTCTAGTTCAGATAAGCAATGTACTGTGTTTATTTTTTACGCCTCGTTTTAGACCCCAACAAACTTTTATTGAGCTATTGCATTCTTCCTGAAGACCTATGTAGATGTGCTGACCACCATTTTCATTTATTTTACTCTTCTAGAAGTCAGATTTGTTTTTTGACAAACTTCTTTGCTTTATTTCGGTCGCCTTGCTAGTTTTACAGACTGTCTTACACGAGCAGTTTGCCGATATAGGTACACTTTCAGTAATTCGAGTATATCTGACTTCCAGAACAGAGATAAAGATTTTTGCACCCCATGACTTTCACAAAGAATTCCTTTACCGTCGGTTCAATTTGAATGTGAATCTCTTTGCAAATAAGCTCTACCAGCCGCGAAAATTCAGTCGCAGTCGCGCACTACTATCTAAATGAAGGATAGTCTCACATTCTATCTGAACAGGCCAGTATGAAGGACAGTGTTGTAGGATGAATTGAGTTCGTAGATCCTTGTTTACCAATTATGGCAGCGAAAAATCAGCGTTCAACACTGATTTCATGCGTCGATGATGAGGACAGTGTTGTAGGATGAATTGAGTTCGTAGATCCTTGTTTACCAATTATGGCAGCGAAAAATCAGCGTTCAACACTGATTTCATGCTGTCGATGATGATAGTTGCCACGATGCGTATACGTAGAATAAAAAGAAACATTACAGTACTGTGACATTGTTTATATGGAACAAAAACGTACCGTGACCAAGCAATATAATCGTGGCAGTTAGAGTAACTCTCAAATCCTTCTGAGCGTTGAGTACAGGCCTTAAGTAACCAGTCGCTGCCCCCACACTTGAATAAAGAACAAAGTCAGACTGTTTTTTCTTGAGTAAATGCCTATGCTTCCTCTTCGCCAATCGCACTGAAACGTTCTTCAATGAGGTTATCCGAATAGTCGTCTGACTGTAGCAGACTTTTGACTGATTCTACCTTCCCAGCGAGTGTGTAAATCAGATCAGTCTTTTTCTATGAAACAAGGTCTGGACTACGATGCGTTTGTGCTGTATGGGACAGAAGCCTGATGAGTTTAGTTACTATCCATTCCAGTTAGGCTTCCTGCACATGGGGTGACAGTACCGTGGGCATTCTTGATGACCGAAAATTAGAAGAAAGTATGTACGAACACTGTTTTCTGTATGTATCTGGTATTTCCCTTATGGTGACGCGATGTAGTGAGTAGGTGAGGATGGGTCGCGCGATGAACGTTAACAACCTGTCGGAATGACACCGGTCGTACAATGGCTTCACGTCGAAATTGCTTTGCGGTGTAGTGCACAGGTACTTTTTCCGAGTGTGTATGCAAGTCATTCGTTCAATGCATCAGTGACTTAGAATGGCAATGCAGTCTGAAGGTATCTCCAGGTCTTTGACCACCGGTGTATCAAAATTATAGCTGGAATCGGCTGAAATCAGTGAATGCCTAGATTGTCGGAAACGGGTTTCTTTTGAATCAGGCGGTACCTCGCTCAAAGAATGCACCCAGCACTACCATTTAAGGTGACTGAGGCATGCCACGTCTATCGAGAACAGCATTGTTTCCCATGTCCAATTAAGAGTGGTAGAAACCTAGAGGTGGACAAAGTTTGATGTGACAGAAGGGACCGAAGGGTGTTACGAAAGGTTTGGATAATGTTCGCACTTCAAGATGGTGTTCATATGACCCGTTCTGTACTTGGCTGGGACGATATGTTAGCTGTCAAGTTCAGTGGCGTTCACGCTGTTAGTCCCTGTCCAGTTTGCCCAGCAGTGATGTATCTCGGATTTTTATGGTAGGCTAACCCTAGGTCCCCATCCCTGTCTCACTTTCTTTCCCCTACAAGGTTTTATTTAAATAAATTGACATGGCTATACGACAAGAAAGCATTTGTATTCTATTATGGCGTTGCTGTCGTTTGCGATGATGATTATGCTAGTTCCTTTCGAAACAGTTCGACAGTTGACTTTCTGCATCGATTCTTCATTTGATGTGTATTTGATCGCCGTGATTCCTCCGAGTTAGATGGCGCCGAATCTTTTTCTGAGGGATCCAAAATTTCCTTCATATTACTGATCTCGTTTTCTTGTTGGCAATCTTTAACAGGCTTGACACGTGGCCACCCTCCAAGCGTCACTGCATTTCAGCAGGCAAATGGATTTGAAAGAATCCTCGATGTTTTGGTTGATTTGCTGCGTGATGAGGCTAAAACGGATACAGGCATAAACCGGGTTTGCGAGAAAGGGGCTTTTCTGATTTATTCACTTCTACAAGAAGTACTGCCCTCCTCGATGGGTAAGTTGCAGACGGTTGTAACTGTGATACCCAACGGTTTTATACAAACTTCTCTATGTTTATGTATTTGAATATTTGTAGCCTCCCACCTAACGCTATGTCGTCCCTCTTTCCAGCGTTCGCTTCTCGGAACTGTAGGAATAGGTCACTCAACTTGGTGCATTCGTTTATTTTATTCGTCGAATTACTTCATTTTACTTCTCACTGTACTGTGTTACCATGAATTGTTGTGCTGTGCGTACAGTTGTCCCAGATAATCGCTACTGGGGCTTCCGTTAGGGTAGTTAAAGGTCAGTAATGTCAATGGGACTCGAGTATCTCTCACTCAGGCAACCTTTTTCACCCGTCGTGAGCTTTATTATTTCCCTCTATCCTAGCTTCGTTCTCGAGTACTAAGGAATACTACGTATGGGAAATGAAAAACATAAATCCGCAATTATTCCATTATGCGGGCGTTCGTTGTTGCACTGACCAAGGCTGACCAGTCTCGGGTCACCCACACTGCATCCGTGAGCAGCCTCCCGGCTACAGGGGCACCACACGTGCCTACAAATGTACAATCCTCCATCTTTTTACCGAATACCAATAGCGGCTGGGCAAGGTTGTCAGTGGCTTTTTGTGGGATGAGATAACAAAATGTCTCCCAAACTTTTCTGAAGCACCGACTTCTTGACCGGTTGCAAGCATTGTCCGACTGCTCTTTGGTGAAGAATGGATTGGAGGTAGAAAGCTGGAGATTTCCATTCGAGAAGTTAAGTTATTCTTTGAAAGCAATGGCTCGTACAGAAAAGCGCTGTTGGGCACGCAACTGGTCCATGTAGGCAGCTTCGCTCGTCATTCCTGGAAAGAGCAGTTGCCGATGTGGAATTTGCTAGTTCTAGTTTCCACTGAAGTTACACAGGCAACTGTTTCCATATACATCAAGTCTGTTGAAGTTGATCAAGCCAGCAGTCTGTGAAGCGTCTTCGGCTCACCCATCATGTGTAGGCTCTCAAAACAGGAAAACATTCAAAATACTCTTACTAGGTACAACAAAACGCTCGGAAGACATAAAAAACACTCCTATTTTCGCTCCCCACATTGTTCAAGATTATTAGCTCGGTATGGGGCACAATGTAGCTTTCTAGCCTGTCATTGGTGATTAACCTGATGCCACGTTGACGCTCAAAACTTGCTCTAGCCTCGTTTGGTAAGAAGATTTCTTCTGGATGGAACCACTGGAATTAATGCAGTTAGTTCATTTGCCAGTTGTGTGTGGGCTTAATCCCAGTCAGTTGCACAGTAGTTATACACGTCATTATAGTCTGCGGTGCCTCAAATCTGCACTGCTTTGGTACTGTTCCTTAAACGAATGTCCACCCCAACATAAGAGGCGTTAGGGTGGATCTGTAATCACATAGATCTCAATGGAAAGCTAGATGAGATCAATGAACGATACTGGATGTCAGACTGACAGCACTTTGCTCTGCTACCGCATGTCGAACACTCATATCGTCGTTCATTTACCAAGACACAACTTCGTCCCTGGACCGGCTTTTCGGGATTGATTCCCCCTATCTTTGTATATGTTGGTTGATACGCCATAAACACTGCCAATTTTATATCTGTTGATTACTGACTGACTATCGCAGTTTGGGTAGAATCGGAGTCGACTCTGTCCCCTGTACTTGGTATTTTTCGCGGAATACTTAATGCTCACTAGTGCTTTTACAGAAATCGGCAATCCCAGCAGCTTTTGGTCTTCTACAGCCACAAATTCATCGCTTGATACCTAACGTTCCCAGCATCTGTCGGAACCTGGTGTCCGGTTTCATGGTTTTTATTTGCCCTTTATCTTTTAGACGTAGAAAAAGAAAGGCAACTCGCATCCAAGTTGATCCAGGTCGCCATGATGATTCCAGACGCCCAAGAGCACATATTAGCGAGTTTGCTATTGTTATTTTCGGACTGTCCTTCTCTCGATTCCGCAATTGACACAGAGAATCGCCCTAAATTCGCATCAAAACGTACGGATGAGCTTCTGTCAAGGAATGAAATCGTTACATTCGTCGATTGGCTCAAATTATCTGATGCCAAAGTTACTTCTTCAAATGATCCAGCACATGCAGAACTTCGTACTTACGTCGGCGCTCTACTTCATCTGCTGAGCAGCCGACCACTGTGAAACTAACTATTCATCACGGAACCCTGTATATACAACTTCTACTTTAAGGCTTCCTGATACTCGAAAAGATTTTAAACAACCAGAATGCTTCTGTTTTATCTAAAAGGACAGAAAAGGTGAGCTGGTAGTAGAATGAGTGCGAGCTAATTAGCGGTTGTGCATGAAGATTTGTTGAAATTGACCAAGTAAGATGGGATTTAGTAGAATTTTTTTAAACGTAGTCGGTGCGCAAACACGTAAGTAGTTTACGTAACTGTGCAAGGCCATCTAGGTTGCTTTGGTGGCTGGATACCTGATGGAGAACAAAACTCGTCAGTGGAAGTCTTCCGCACCCGTCATTCTAGTGTCCGCTAGTTGGCAGTGAACCGGATGATTATTAGGCTATCAACTGCCCAGAATGGCTTCTCTGGTCCTATAGTTACGCACCGTATTTATTGCATCATCGTCATCACTGACCGCATTAGAGAACATTGATGTTTCACTATCGTACAACCATATCGATGTAGTTAGCCATCGGAGATATTTGGGTTCGCGTTGCTTCAGGGCTTCTTGGAGGCTCTCGTCTGAAGATAACTTTTGAATGCTTATACTCCAAAGTTCCACATGCTGTGAAATTAATCAGTAGTTTGGTTATATCAACAACATCGTGGCCAACGGCTGGCTGCGTTTTTTTACGAAGACCTCAGTTCCGCGTTCTAGGACCTGGTTACTGAAATAGGTGTTTTATCAATCCCCTGATAGTGCCTAGCACTATCGATAAAAGCATAACTACCCCAGAGTTAGATTATTATACACCCAGAGGTACCAGTAAGGAAGACGTTGGTTTCAAAAGCACTAGCAAGAAGTTTTGCCTGTATAATTGAAACCGAACGCTAGGAAACATTTTGCACGCGGTAGCCAGGCTAATCGTTCCAATGCGAGCCACCTATTGGACCTAGAGGTTCTCTTCCGAGGGACGTTTGACCGAATTCCTGAGTGACTAAGATCGGAGCCACTGGCTAATGCCTCAGCTTAACCCATTACAGTGTACCTGCAACCGAATTTCTTGGGATGCATGGTGCTTATTTGGTATTGTGCAATTCTGTGACTTTAGGAATGACTTTGTCAACACCCAGTCAAACCCAGTTATTCAAGATACCTATGTTACTGTACAATTGATTAACACATTAGTGACGAACCGTGGTTTCAATATCTCCATGATGATCTACGCGTCGCTCTATTAGAAGCCGGTTTGAAGACAATGTCTTGAAGCAGCGCGTTTAAAGCTCGAGGTTACGGGCATTGGATCCTCTCGTTAGGGTGAGGAACAGAACTGTGGTCCCTTCTAGTCCCGAGTTCAATTTCCGGGAGCCAGATAGAATTATATCGCAAGGGCCGTCCTTAGCAAACTAGTCTTCTAGTCTATATCACCGTGGGAGATAGCTTGCCTTACGTTTTTAGGGTTGGACGATGAACCATTGTCGTTACTCAACTCGCGTATCGTCTGCGGCCTGAGACGCGTACGATCTGCATGTGTGCCTTTTACTTCTCGAAACTGCTGAAACCCCCTCATCGAATGCCTTGTACAGTGTATATCAGTTAAGCAGTGTACTGTGACATCACCTAAACTATCTGTATTTTGCCTCTGATGGGCCGAAAGGTATTATCCCTTATACCGCGCCAAATAGGCAAGTATAGCTGAATGAAGAGCAATCCAAGTGAACCAACAAAGGACGATTCGATTCATTAATACTCTAGGGCTATTTTCAGCGTCGAAGAGCGCACACTGACCAACCCCGAAGGCACATCTCAGGACAAAACATGATCGATTCGTTGTAAGGTTAGTTATCACAAACCAGAAATCCGCATCAGGGATAACTGATAGACCTTAGCTCGATACTTTTGACGACCTGGTTCACTATAGGTGAGCAGAAGTTAACCGCTATGCCAAGCTTTGGTGTTGTTCCCTGATTTCCCCGTTAGAAAGTAGTCGTGTAGCCATAATTCCAAGTTTCTGGTACCTATCGCGGTTTGCTATTTTTTCCACCAATCCAATGGCAAGGTTCGCGGGACCTGAACAAAGTGATCTTTCCTAGATTTGCTTATTTCAGAACAACAAATACATACAATACGGACGCAGATGGACAAATAACCGGAAACGAACGATGGATCACAGACTGAGATACCACGTTGGAAGGAAGCGCTGCCACATATCAGGGATGAAAGTCGTGTTTTTGCATTCAATCCATACGGAAAAAGATGAGCGAATAAGGCTCTCGAAGAAAAATGCCTTGTAAGCGAGTAGGCGCAAACCTCGTAAGCGTCTTCGGTGGTGGAGAATACGAATCCTTGTATTCGTTTACTCACAAGGTTCTCCCCATTGATAGCATTTTAAAGATACAACTGTATCCCCTTTATGTGCCCGATTGTATCGGGATCCTGGATTGCTGCTGCTTTACAGTGGCGTTAGGCTCTACCCTTTTTCGAGCATTCCGTTACTGAAACTCAGCTGAATCTCGCGTTTATGTTCTCAATGACTACGCCTACCTGATGAGCCCCAAGAAGGGTGAGGCCGATCGTGGGCTGTCTAAGAGTCTTCAACAACTTTATAAATAGTGTGTTGCGTCAACCTTTCAGATCGACAACCTGAGTGGATAACAAGAGGACGGCTGATTGGCTCCACGAAAGTTGTTCTGCCTGATAAATAGTCCATGACCTACGAATGTCGTATTCAAAGCACAATCCAAGGAGTACTTTTACGGTATATTACATCGCCTCCGCTGGGAGAAGGTATCGACAGTCTAACGGAACAGCTAAGTGGACTGCGATGTTGAAGCCTGCTCATGAGGGATGTGGATAACCGATTACAGGTGAAAAATCCCCTTAAATCCGATGGATCAGTGAAAATACTATGCTTGGAAAATGTCCAATTCACGGGAGTGAAGTGCTAAAACAACTGGTTCATGTCATACTCATGAGGGGGAAAATCGGTTCAGTCCAATTGACCAAACGACTGTGATGTCACCTCGGCCTGTCCTCTTGAAGAAATTTTCATCGTTTGACACTCGAAATTCATTTATGTTGAATAGGACATCCATCCACTGCAGAATAAACCAATACTGTACTGGTAGTAAACACATGGATGAAGCATGGCAAAACGGAGAAAGCTAGCGGCGTTCGGTGCTGTCTGTCCGACTTCTCCGATTCGATCAAAAGACCTCTGGATGTCTTCGAGATCGTTATCCCAATTGATGCTAGGAAATCCACACAAACAGGCAACCAGTACTGCGGCGCACGCAACTCCATCAAACACTAAACAATGGAGAGCCTAAGGAAAGACCGTGAGCCCTGGGAAGCTTGGGAAATGTAGAAGGCCTTTGCTACCGGAAACCACCGTGTCTTATATCAACAGATACGATCGACTGACCCCGGGAAAGCAGCAGTAAGCGAAACGACACATGAAAAAGTCGGCTCATTAATTCAATCGCGAAAAGTCAACTGGAAAGGTGGGCCGAGCAGTCAAGAACAGTTCAGCTGGCCTCCTGAAACACAGTCTCTCGGGAAGGTTCATGCGAGCTAATGGCACTGAAACCTTAATCACCCGTCAGAAGAAATAAAGTACAAAATACCCGAAATGAAATGAGGGAGGCATCAGGACCAGACGGTTCGTATCCAGTCCACTTCAGAGGGCGGAGAATGCCCGTTGACCCATCTGGCAGTGCTTTTCGGTGCGATATGGAACAAAGAGAAGTCGCCTGCAGAATGAGGCATGTCGACAGTTATTTCTATCCTCAAAAAATGGTACGCGGACGCTGTGACACCGTGGCATCAGCTTCATCTGCAGCACCCTCTCGGTGCCATGCTACGACAGTGAAGCAGCGGTGTTGAATACTGATGTCATGCTGTCGATTTTTTAGATGCCATGCCACAGAAGGAAGCACGAGGGTTGGGATACTCCCTGGCATCAGCCTGATAGTTGTGGCATCGAAAGTGCTCTCTAGTCTTACCCTAGGGAGGTTGATCGAAAACAGAGAAAGACATCAGCGAAAACCAAGTTCGGTTCCATCCTGCATCGATCACATTTTCAACCTCCGATAAATTCTGGAACGGCGACACTGCTTCCAGTAACGAACAATGGTTGTTTTGCTGGACTTGAAACTTTCCTTCGACTCTGTAGACCATTAAACACCATGGAGCTAATATATCCCCCAAAAGTTCTTGACCCCCTGAAGGCCTGTACGCCAACACTCGCTGACGTGTGAAAGCCTACGGGAAGCTCTCGCATGAGAGCTTCCACACCACCGCATCAAGTGGTGTCAGGTAGGATTGTCCTCTTTCATCTTCCCCGTTCAACTTCGTCATTGAGGCGCTTCTAATGCGTGTGGGGCCGAAGTGATCCCGGGTCATCCGATCACAGATATCGAGTGCGCAGACGGTACCTCTTTTTGGATCTGACGCCGTGGTAATCGGAACATTAAATTATCTGAATAATTCTGCTCCACGGTTTGGCACGCGCATGTGTAGTGTTACTGCAAGACTGGTCGGCTTAAACCCTAATCTCATGTTCGCGGATGAGCCCATTGAGGTTAACCGATTTGTCTACCTGGGTAGCTGTATCAGTCCCGGCGGTCTCGCAAATGATTTTTCCATCCGGATTGCGAAGGCCAGTGGGGTGTTTGTAAGCCTGCGTCACCTTTGGCATACGCGTGAAGTTAGCTGGTACGTCAAGGGTCGAGTTTGAAAAGCTGCGGTGCGCTCCGTACTACCATACGGATCCGAACACTGGCAGCAGCGTGCCGAAAACGTCAACAGACTTTCAGACTCCGAAGCGTTGCCCGAGTCTGGTGAGAATACCCGATCAACAATGCTCATCATCATCGACAGCATGACATCAGTGTTCAACACCGATGCTTCACTGCCGTACAACCATGACTTATTTGAAAGCCTTATTGTAAAGAAAAGAGTAAAGGTGGACGGGGGAGGGACTTAGTTCTAGCTTACCACAATCATTCCGAAGTGCCTACACCTCCAGACATCCACTCAGGCAATCTGGATAGAAACTGACAACAAGAACG